AAAAATGTTAAAGAAAAGGGGAGGGGGGGGGGGGAGGTAAGAATCATTTATTGCAGAAGAGACATACTATGGGCTTGACTTATAAACCATCTGCAGGACCGATCACCAGGCAAATATCTGTGAATGTTCATTCTGTGCAATTAACGTTTTCGTTTTTTGTTTTTTTTTTCTTTACATGCGGAATTCATTTGAAATGCTCTCCTTGTAATATCCCATTATGGCCACTAGCTGGAGCTAAGGAGCATAGACAATAAATGCTTATTTCCTATGCTCCTTTATCGCCATCTAGAGGCCATAATTTATTCATAAATTTATTCAATTTATTCACACATTCAGACATTAAAACTAAAGACCATTCCATTGTGCATCCTTCCCTGTAAAACACCTTCCTGCTTGCAATTTTTTTGTTTAAGGACACAATTCCACTTTAATTGTGCGCAGACAAGTGAACAGCTCATGATGTGCTTCCCGGTTCTGGCTTCACGTTCCCGAGTAGTTTTTGGTAGGGATGCACCGATACCGGTTTATGGTATTGAGTACGAGTACTGATATTTATATTCATATTGTTTGGCCGGCTGGATGCTGATTGGCCCGGGAAGTCGGCATCCCAGCCAATCGGCATCGATGGTCGGCCAAACAGATCTGACGATATGGTGACACGACCCCCACCCTGCAGGCACCTCATTCCCCTCACATAGATCCTTAGCAGCAGTCATTACAATACCAGTCCCTCGGCCAGCTGGGCCGACACCACTCTCCAAGCTCTCTGGGATCTGCCCACGTCTCCTGTGTGCACAGCGCCCGCGTGATCGGCCCTCAGCCTGCTACTGCGCATGCGCAGGCTGCCCAGCGCTTCCCGGCCAATCAGCATCGAGCCAGACAAACCGTATGGAGCCAGTTTCCCGGCTCCATGTTTCCTCGCGGCACAGCCGGTCAGAGGAAATCTCCCTCTGACCGGAAGTTCCAGTATCGGGGAAGGTATCGGAGCATTTGGGTGAGTACTCGCCCAAATACTCGGTATCGGTGCATCCCTAGTTTTTGGGAGATACATTCTGACAATAGTTCTGACAGTTGTTTACGGTAAAGGATTAACCCTTTCACTGCCCAGGCATCACATGCATTCCTCTTTAAAGCTGAACTCACTGTATGAGGTTAATGTAAAAATCAAAAAACTTCAGCTGGAAAGATTCATGGATGACATACACAACTCTTTTGATGTTGTCCGAGAGCTTACAATCTAAGTCGGTAGCAATGAACTGATAGGGGTGTATTTATAAACAATACAGAGAGCTATTCGTCCTGTGAAACTCCGCGAGCATGCGTTCTGTGTGAATGGAAACGTTCTTAGTATATATTCTCTCCAAGTTGAATGTAATAGTAGGAAAGTACGGTATTATGGCCACTAGATGGAGCTGAAGGGCATAGGACTTAAATAAGTCTTTCTTTTGCTCCCCAGCTCCATCTAGTGGCCATAATGGAGTATTTTTCTAATATTGAATTTGAGTTGTAGAAAAAAAATCCTAATAACATTTGTTTTTTCTAGGGCTGTGCAAATTAAAGATTAATTTCTCGATTAATCGTTAATCTTTTTGATCGATTACATTTTTTTTGATCGATTCATTTTTAAAAAAAACTCTCTGCACGAGCGCCAGCCAAGGCATTGGCCTATACCCATACAGCACAGCAATGAAGTCATAAAATGAACTAGGATCACACTAATCCAGCAAGTTATTATTCTGAGTTGCCCCACGTGAGATTAATAACTTGCTGGATTAGTGTGATCCTAGTTCATTTTATTACTTCATTGCTGTGCTGTATGTGTATAGGCCAATGTAGTTGGATCTGTATGTGCGTTATAATTAATCGAAATTAATCAATTAATCGATTTTAAAAAATTTCGATTAATCGAACACAAAAATATTAATCATTACCAGCCCTAGTTTTTTCCTCCATTCACACAGAGTGAACACTCACAAAATTTCGCAGGACGAATGGCTCTGCGAATGGTTTATAAATACATCCCCTAAGTGATGAAACAATAGGATGCAAATGTTACATTTGGGGCCACAAAATGAAAAGAACATTATTTTAAACGGAATAAAGAGAGCTGCGTACAGGGGATCAGACAATAGATTTAATGTCTTCCTGGGGACCCCCCGGGGATTGCTCCCTCTCTGCTGCTTGTTATTGTTAGGATACACATTATTGTATTGATAGCAGTAACTCCTGCAGTATACAATTTCAGTCACTAGATGGCAGTGTTCTGTTATATATCTATGGTATTGAATAAGGTATAAAATAAAGCTGTGGCTTTCTTCCTGTTGTAGCCAAGCCATGTGCAGCATGCATATGCTGTGTGCTCGTGTGTCCCTGTGAGGTTGTGCAAGAAGTTCCAACAGTGATAGCATTGATCTTACCTGATCTCTCTGCGGTAACTGTCATACTGCAGGACGGGGACGAATCGAGACACGTTGCCAACCCACTGCAGGTCGTAGACGGCGTAATCAATGAAACGTTCCCCCTTCTCATCAATGCTCAGCAGGCCGGTCACTCCTGTGTAGCAGAACTACTGGTGTGAGTATAGAAATACAAAGTGTCTCTAAAGCCAAACCTTCCTTGGATACATTGTGGCGATGTCAGACCCCCTGTCAGGTTTTTTATTTCTATATGCATCAATTATACTGATAGCTCCCTATGGGAAAGTACCACCACCCCCTATATATATGTTACAGCCCAACAACCCAATTGGACTATGATTACATTAGAGGGGGGATAGAGAGTAGAGAGAGAAGAGAGGGGGAGAGGGGGAGTGAGGAGAGACAGGAGAGAGATAGTAAAAATAAGTATTATATTAAAAATATTGTTTTTTATTTTTGTTAATATTGTTGTAATGATTCATTTTGTTATCAGATGAGATACAATTTCATTCATTATTCTTTAATTAATTTAAATTACCATATTTTATGTTTGCTATTTTTTTTTAAATTGTCTTCTACATGCACTGAAGAAGGGGGTGGCTCTTTCCCCTGAAACGCGTTAGTCATATTTGCTCTTCTTAATCAATAAACATTAAACTAATCATCAAGCCAGATGACCATTTTTACCAGGCGATACCAATCCCCATACAGAAAAAACAAAAACAAATCGATCAATAAACATAAAGCCATCACCAGAACAGGAAGTAAGAGGAATTCTTCCAATGGGGACACCTGTTTCAGTGACAGCTGTCTATAAGGGGATTTCTTTTCACTTTGCAGAGATTTCCTCACACTTCCTGTTGTGTCTCAAAGAGACAGGAAGTGAAGGACGGAAGTTTTTCCAGCTGGAGACGTAATGAAAAATAATGCATTAAAGGAGAACTATGGGGTTAAGTCTTTTCCCCATAGTTCTCCATAGGGTAACGGGAGGACACAAACTAGCGTCCTCCCGTCACCCTAGGTTCAGTATATAGAGAGCTGCTGCTCGCGGTATACTGAGACGCAGCAGCTGAAGCGGATCCCGACAATTGTGCCGGGATCCGCCCAGCTGCGTAAGTGACAGCTGGCTCTGCCTATCTAGAGGCAGAGCCAGCTGTACCCGCCCCCTCCCCCGTCCATTCCGCCAGTCAGCGCTGGCGGATCGGAGCGGGGAGGGGGGAATCCAGCCCCTCCCCCTGTCACGGCAGAGAGCCATGACAGGATCGAGAGGTGAGCGAACCCGGTATGTGTTCACTCACCTCCCGATCTACTGAGCCGACCTGTGACAGTCTCATTGTCACAGGTCGGCTAGAACTATGAGGTGAGTGAACAGCGCTCGCCTCATAGTTCTCCTTTAATAGACACGCTGAACCAAGAATATGTATATAGTATATTTATAGTATTTGATGGCGCTTTGGAAATGATGATATTTTGCTCAGGATGTCCCCTCACGCCGTCATATCGGACAGGAGAAGCAGCGCAACCTCCCGACCATCAGCGGTCATTGCTCTCACCATAGAGTTGGGTGTCATTGTATCCTCTCAGGCTCTGCACCAACGACCGTCCATCCGTCATGTTCCTCCCTTGCTTCAGATTCTCCTTCAGTCCCAGCACATACATTAAGATGGAGTCGTGGAGGTAAGCGGCATAGGGACTCACCTACAAAGGACGGATAGATCAGATGGGAAGTTATGGGATCTTGTAGGGAGGGATGAGCAATGAGCATTTCCCTGAAATTCCAGTAACAATGAGATTTTCGGTGAAATTTGGCATTTTGGGGAAGTGCATTGGAGTCAATAGGGAAGGTGAAATGAAGGATGCAATGGACTTCAAATGGATCCGGAGGGTTACAGAAGTTCCTTTCACCTATCCTGGACCTGTTCTTATACAGATCATGGCTGGTGGGAGGGGAGGAGCCATTATCAATACCTCTCTTATTTTATACCCGGTGATGTCATCACTGGGTCCCTGTGCTATTTCAAGGAGGGGCCGGCAGGGTGCTGTACCTAGCTTCCTGCCTTAGTACTCCTCTCAGAAGCCCTCAGCCCTCATGTAAGCAGTGGGCTGGATCTTGGGAGGGGTTATGCAAATATCAAAATGCCTTGATCGGTGTCAGTCTGGAGGAGTGGGCGTTCCTAGGCAGGCTTCATCTGCATGCAGGTTAACGCCCACATATGACGTTCAGCCTCCACGATTGAAGGAACTGAAATCCAATGAATGAAAGGGGGGTGGGGCCAGGGACAGTCAGGCTAGATGATGCTGGATGTCCAGTGGGTATTCGCTCTTTGTCTTTAGCTGTTTGCCCCGAATTCTGACTTTTAGAGCCGAACATCCCTAATAAAAGCACCTGGCTCTCAGAAGAGATCTCGCTGTAGAACGGCGCCCCCTTCAGCCTGTCATAGACCTGCTTCATGAAGGACGTGTAGTTGTAACTGGAATTCAGGGCGACCATGAGCACCGCGTCATAAGCCCGCCGGATACCTTGGCCTTCGTCGCTGACGAAAGTGTCCTTCCAGAACCCTTCCTGCAAGAAGTAACCAAAATCATTTCTACAGATGGGAAATGAAAAAGATTTTCTGTCATTTTGTTACATTTTGTTACATTCGCACAGCTGTTCCCTGTGCAAAAGACATTCGCAGCACTGGACGGCCACTAGATGGAGCCGAGGAGCGTGGGAGATCCTTGTGGCCATCCAATGACCACTAGAGGCCTTCCAATCATGTGATCACTGTGACGGACTGAACCATCACTGGTGCTGTTGGAGGGCTAGCCTCCTTCCTACTGACTATGGACCCAGAACTATGGAGACCCCCTCGGACCTCTTGGGGTTACAATGAACCATTCTACCAGGTTTATGTGTGGAGGGATGTACTTCACATTTTCCCGGGCATTACATTTGGATGACCCGGTGTTTATTATAGGTACAGGCTGTGAATCCAGCAGCACTGAAGGGGGTTAATTCTGGATATTGAACTGTTCCAGTTTATTGGTCCTTTTGTTGTATTGTGTTGATGATGGGATTAGGAGAGCTGATTCTAGGAGTAGCTGACTCCGGGTGTAGATGAGTAGATCACTCTATGATACACTCAGGAGATAATCCCATCACATGTGTCTCCTCTCTCCCTATTCATTCATTAAGGCATCGGGGAGGGGGAGGGGGATGTCTGTTTGCATGCTGTTCATGTTTGATTGCGTTATGTGTTTAGAACTGTATATATACTGAGCTGGTCTTCAATAAAGCAGATCTTGGTTTCCACCTCAACATTGGTGTTGTCTAATGCTTGAGTGGTTTAGCGTTCTGTCCTAATATATTGGTTCTGTCCAATAATTAGGCAGGTTTGGGCTGATGACACTGGGATTCGGGTTCCAGCGGAGAGGAAGCTGATTTCTGACGGAGGTACCCAGTCGGGGTACCAGGCGGCCCGTCACAATCACTATGGCAGCTTGCGATCATGTGATCAGTGTGACAGCCAATCACATTGATCAGAAGATCGGTAAGCCCACCTCCGGCGTTAAGGTTTTCTTAAAGTGCCGGCTGCCACCTACAGGTGAAGGTTAAACTGGCTTCTAGTACGAGATGATTTGGTTTATTCCTTTCGCACCACCTCACTGCCTTCTCTGCTTTCCATTCTTTCTCTCTTTTCATGTTTTGTTTTTTTGTGTCCCTCTGATCCTTTCTGATGGTTCTCGCTGATAGAAATATCCGATGTGTGAGCACAGATCCTGTGATGTGTCTCCAATCCCTCCCAAAAATTCTACAGGCTCCAAATATTCCTACAGTGCGTCCACAGTCTCTGACCATCTCTTGTTGAATGCCAACAGCCTCTAAATCTCTCTTGTAGCATGCCCACAGTCTCTGACCATTTTTTTGAAGCATGCCCATTAGGGATGTACCAATACCGGTGCCTCCGCTGGCATGGAGCAGGCATCCCGGGCATTCAGGAAGCAGGGCGTCGCATAATGACATGCCGCCCAGCTTCCTGATTGCCTGGGAAGCCGGCTCCATGTTTTTTAGCTGTCTCAATTGTGATTGGCCGGGAACCGGCTTCCCAGCCAATCAGCATGGAGCCGGCTTGCTGATTGGCAGGTCATTACTCACCACCCGGCTTCCTAGTTGCCCGGCAAGCAGACTCCATGTTCCCCTACGGCACTGTCGGTCAGAGTAAATCTTCCTCTGACCGGAAGTTCCGTTATCGGGGAAGTTATCGGAGTACGAGTACTCGCCCAAATACTTGGTATCGGCACCGACAACGATACTAGTATCGGTATCAGTGCATCCCTAATGCCCATAGTCTCTGACCATCTCTTGTAGCTTAGCCTTAGTCTCTGATTGTCTGATGTAGTATGTCCTAGTCTCTGATCATCTCTTGTAGCATGCATGTAGTCTCTGATCATCTCCTGCAGCATGCATGTAGTCTCTGATCATCTCCTATAGCATGCATGTAGTCTCTGATCATCTCCTATAGCATGCATGTAGTCTCTGATCATCTCTTGTAGCATGCATGTAGTCTCTGATCATCTCTTGTAACATGCATGTAGTCTCTGATCATCTCCTGTAGCATGCATGTAGTCTCTGATCATCTCCTGTAGCATGCATGTAGTCTCTGATCATCTCCTGTAGCATGCATGTAGTCTCTGATCATCTCCTGTAGCATGCATGTAGTCTCTGATCATCTCTTGTAGCAACCATAGTCTCTGACCGTCTCCTGTGTCATGTCAGCAGTCTCTCACAGCTTTCTGTAGCATTACATTTACCGAATATAACGTGTGGCCCTTTAGTGATGTCGGGGGCCCCCCTATATCGAGTACGTTGGCCACAACTTCTCCTTGGGTTTCTCTATGCTCTCTCGGTTTTGCACTCACCAGGAAGCCGCTGACTTCGAACTGCTGAACCATAATGAAGACGTAGCGTCCGTCCGTCAGCCCTTGTCTCTCCGCTTCCTGTAATATGATTTTTGCGTCCTCTGAGCCGGTCACAAGAATGATCACTAGAAGGAAAAAACCCCAAAACATTGAGAAGAAATTCAGATATCGGAGACTTCCATATTCAAATGTAGATAAAGCCCAATGTTTGTTTTTTTTGACGAAAGGCGGGAGGGTTAGAACCTCTGTCAGGTTTTTATATCCATCTGTGCCTCTGCTGGGGAGACTCTGTGTTTGGTGATCGCCGGGACTGAGAGTGATGAGGCAATCCAAAAGTAAGAGTTGTCACTAGAACAGGAATAGAGGGAAAACCGTGCAATGGGGGACACCTGTTCTGGTGATGACAACTGTCTCCAGGGGGGATTTCCATTATTTTTGTGAGATTTCCTTTTACTTCCTGTTGTGTCTCTAGGACAGGAAGTGAAGGGAATCTCTCTCCAATGGGACACAGCTGATAAAAACAATGACAGGATTTTTTTTTTAACCCATCGTTACTCAGAAATTGTAGCTTTAGATACATTTTGAGGAAAACTCAAAGAACATAATCCTTACAAATCTAAACAGAAGCAGATCAGATGATTCATGTTTCTACCTCGTGCAGCCGAAGCAACCAAGAGAAGATTTTCCTGGAGGTTGTTCATGCTCCCCGGGTCATATTTGATCTTGGCCCTGATGGTGAAGTTGACGGCCAGTTGGCTCTCCAAGGAGGTCCAGAGTTCGTCAATCTTCTCCCAGGTTGAGCCCTCCAGGGCCCCTCCGAACATAGCGATGTAGCGCCATTGGAAATAGTTTAAGGTCTTCTCCAAGGCTTCGGAAATTCTCTGGAGGGGTGACACCATCTTGACGTAGGTGTCGTAAAGGCGCCTGTTGTCCAGTTTGGGTGTCTGGCTCACAAAACCGAACATGGGAACATTCCAAGAGGATGCCAGCAAGCCCGTGACCTGGAAGGAGAGAAAAGTCACACAACTATTCCTGCCAATGTCGGCACGACCTTCCCAAGCTTCTCCACCAAACATGGGAGGGTTCTGATCCCCGTCAGCTTTGCTTGGTCATTTGTGTCCCATTTGGAAGATTTCCCTCTCACTTCCTCTCTGATAGCCACAACAGGAAGTGAGAGGAAATCCTTCCAAAGTAAGGGAGATTCCTGCTGGTCACAAGAACTCGTGTCCCCATTGGAAGATTTCCCATCTATTCCTATTCTGGTGACAACCCGAAATGTAGGCTTTTCTTTCAGTTTCAGTGATAATGGTCACCAGGACAAATAGAGGGGGTGAATCTTTCTAAGGGGGTCTTCTAAAACCTTTTCCATTCTATCCAAAACTTAAAAAAAAAAAAAAGTGTTGGCTTCCATTGCACATCCAACCAAAACCCTTTTCCTTGTCATGAATAGGGCAGTCAGGTGTTCATTGTTCTTTTTATATTGGAATTTATACAAGATATTTTAAAGCAGAAGTTAACCCCCAACCAACAACCCCCCTCCCCCCCTCTAAACTCTCTCCTTCAAATTCATTCACGAACGTGGTACCCACCAAGTACCACCACTCATCCCACCTTTTTTCGAGCTCCACACATGGGGTAAAAACGCTCTACATTTTTCAACAGGGGTCAGCAACCTGCGGCTACATGTCCGTAAGTTTAAAGTCGTGCGACCGTACAGTAGTAGAGGTCGCACGGCTTCCACACACCTTACCATAATCGTACGATCGCGGGATTTCCCGCCATTATCGTAAGATAATCGTAAGGTGTGTGGGGACCCTTACATGGAGGGGGAAGACCCCTTCCTCACTGGAGCTCCAGTATTTCCCCCGGTCTTCTCTCAGCTTTGGCCTCTTGGCTGGTCGGCTGGCATGATGTAACTCCCGCACATGCGCACAGGGGTTACTTCATCACTTCCATTTTAAGGTATCACAGCCGTAAATTTAGAATGAAAGATACAAATAATCTTTTATTGTTAATTACAAAAAGTATTCCGTTTTTGTAACCATAGAAGGCCACCAAGCTAAGAACACTTGGGAATGAAAACTCAACACTGTAGGAGAACCCCCTTATAAGGATCATGGGAGTCCGTATGAATTTCCATGTAGAATGTAACATCAACAGTGTCTCCAATGTCTCCTTATTTTAAGGATATTCTTAAAGTGACATTTAAGTAAAAAAATGTTTCCCTCCCCCCAATGTTAGTGTTAGCACTTACCTTAAATGATGTCTCTTAATCCGATCTTCCTCTTCTTTCCTGACGTTTTCATCTCTCCCTCCAGCGGTGCGGCGGGTCTCCGATCCAGCGCTGACTCCTCTGAGCTCGCTGGCACTTCCTGTCCCACGGTGTCTGTATGCGGGTGCACGCGTCCATAGACTTACCTTGCGTCTCTCCTCGCGTCCCAGCCCGAAAATGTGATCTGCGCATTGCGCCCGCCCCAGGATGCTTTGCGGCCGTCCGAGAATTTTCTAATTTTCGGAGGGGAGTGCGCGTGGAAGACACAGGTCAGTATTGACCCTTTTCAAAGCGTTTTTTTTTTAAAATTACACTTTTTGCCTATATCTCCTGCTTGCTAGCCTTATACACTGAGTGGCTGGATTATTATATACACTGAGTGGCCGGATTATTATATACACCGAGTGGCTGGATTATTATATACACTGAGTGAAGTGCCCTGTCAAAGAGCCGTGACAGGATCGGGAGGTGAGCGAACGCCGGTATGTGTTCTCTCACCTCCCGATCTACTGAGCCGACCTGTGACAGTCTCATTGTCACAGGTCGGCTAGAACTATGAGGTGAGTGAAAAGCACTCACCTCATAGTTCTCCTTTAAAAAGGACTCAGTCATGAAGGGGTTAATGTCACTTTAACATTGAGGATCTGAAGAACAGCACAGGTTGAGTTAAACCCGATCTTCGAGGATTTTCCTAGGAGGCTTTTTGATAGCACTCTCACCTTGTTATGATTGTCTAGGGACATCCTCATTATAAGGGCACATTGGAGACAATTGTGTTACATTCTACACGGGAAATCCTCTGGACTTCCATGATCATTATTGGAGGATCTTCTCAAGTGCGGATTTTTCACATTTAAGTTATTTTTTTAACAAATTGGCTACAAGAATAGATTATTTTTTTTGTAATTAATAATAGAGATATATTTATTTTTTTGTACCTTTTGAGCTAAATGTATTCCTTAATCGTTCATTTGTGATGTCCCGTATGAATATTATATTTGAAGTCTAGGTATCCAATCCAGGTATCTTTTAGGTTGTTATCATTGTCTTGATTCCTCCAATGGGGAGATTCGCCCTCTCTATTCGTCCCGGTGACTACTGTCGCCAAGACAGAAAGCAGCGGTAAATTTAAAGTGACATTAAAGTCAAAAACTTTTTTCCCTTCCCCCAATGTTAATGAAAGGAGAACTATGAGGTGAGTGCTTTTCACTCACCTCATGGTTCTAGCCGACCTGTGACAATGAGACTGTCACAGGTGGGCTCAGTAGATCGGGAGGTGAGCGAACACATACCGGCATTCGCTCACTTCTCGATCCTGTCACAGCTCTCTGCCATGACAGGGGAGGGGCTGGATTCCCCCCTTACCCGCTCCGATCCTCCAGCACTGACTGGCGGAACGGACGGGGGAGGGGGCGGGTACAGCTGGCTCTGCCTCTAGATAGGCAGAGCCAGCTGTCACTCACGCAGCTGGGCGGATCCAGACATAATTGTCGGGATCAGCTTCAGCTGCGGCGTCTCAGTATATAGGGAGCTGTAGCTCGCGGTATACTGAGCTTAGGGTGACGGGAGGACGCTGGTTTGTGTCCTCCCGTTACCCTAAGGAGAACTATGGGGAAAAGCCCTAACCCCATAGTTCTCCTTTAAAGCACTTACCTTAAAGGAGAACTATGATGCGAGTGAAAATCACTCCTCCTCATAGTTCTAGCCAACCTGTGACAATGAAACTGTTACACGTCGGCTCAATAGATCGGGAAGTGAGCGAACACATACCGTCGCTCGCCCACTTCTCGATCATCTCCCTGCAGAGAGCCGTGACTGTCAACACATAGCCATTAATTTCTAAACCGCTGGCAACAAAAGTGAGTACACCCCTAAGTGAAAATTTCCAAATTGGGCCCAATTAGCCATTTTCCCTCCCCGGTGTCATGTGACTCGTTAGTGTTACAGGGTCTCAGGTGTGAATGGGGAGCAGGTGTGTTAAATTTGGTGTTATCGCTCTCACTCTCTCATACTGGTCACTGGCAGTTCAACATGGCACCTCATGGCAAAGAACTCTCTGAGGATCTGAAAAGAAGAATTGTTGGTGTACATAAAGATGGCCGAGGCTACAAGAAGATTGCCACGACCCTGAAACTGAGCTGCAGCACGGTGGCCAAGACCATACAGCGCTTTAACAGGACAGGTTCCACTCAGAACCGGCCTCGCCATGGTCCACGTGCTCAGTGTCATATCCAGAGGTTGTCTTTGGGAAATAGACGTATGAGTGCTGCCAGCATTGCTGCAGAGGTTGTGGGGGGGTCAGCCTCTCAGTGCTCAGACCATACGCCGCACACTGCATCACTTTGGTCTGCATGGCTGTCGTCCCAGAAGGAAGCCTCGTCTAAAGATGATGCAAAAGAAAGCCCACAAACAGTTTGCTGAAGACAAGCAGACTAAGGACACGGATTACTGGAACCGAGTCCCGGGGTCCGATGAGACCAAGATAAACGCATTTGGTTCAGATGGTGTCAAGCGTGGAGTGTGTGGCGGCAACCAGGTGATGAGTGTGTGTGAGTGAGTGTGTCTTGCCTGGGAGTGGGAGTGTCATGGTCTGGAGCTGCATGAGTGCTGCCGCCACTGGGGAGCTACAGTTCATTGAGGGATCCATGAATGCCAACATGTACTGTGACATACTGAAGCAGAGCACGATCCCCTCCCCCCGGAGACTGGGCCGCAGGGCAGTATTCCAACACGATAACGACCCCAAACACACCTCCAAGACCACCACTGCCTTGCTAAAGAAGCTGAGGGTAAAAGGTGATGGACCGGCCAAGCATGTCTCCAGACCTAAACCCTATTGAGCATTTGTGGGGCGTCCTCAAACAGAAGGTGGAGAAGCGCAAGGTCTCTAACATCCACTAGCTCCGTGATATCATCCTGTAGGAGGGGAAGAGGACTCCAGTGACAACTTGTGAAGCTCTGGTGAACTCCATGCCACAGAGGGTTAAGACCGTGCTGGAAAATAATGGCGGCCACACAAAATATTGACATTTTCACCTAGGGGTGTACTCACTTTTGTTGCAAGCGGTTTAGACATTAATGGCGGTGTGTTATTTTGAGGGGACAGCAAATGTACACTGATATACAAGCTGCACACTCACTACTTTACATTGTAGCCAAGTGTCATTTCTTCTGTGTCGTCACATGACATGATATCATCCAATGAGAGGGCTGGACTCACTTCTGTGAGATACTATATATATATTTTATATATATATATATATTTGTATATATATATATATATATATGCATGAAATATTCTTTGTGCCGTTATTCCTTCTATACATCATTACTCAAAGCTAAGTTAAGACAGATTAGTCTCCTGCTGTGTCACAGATTAAATCACAAGACTGACTGAACAGAATTTCAACGATCTTGGCAAGTGCCGACAGGTTAACATATATGTATTTAAACTGATTAGCCCAACCTTAACTTTCTTGTTCTTAAAAGTGAATAGAAGGGATTTAACCCACTTTGGAGAGATTTTCTTCCACTTCCTGTTGTGTCTACAGAACAGGAAGTGAATAGAAATCTCCTTAATGGAGATTTAACTCTTTAACACTCAATGCAACATGAAGAAAAGTTTTGGTCTAGCTGGACTTTTTCTAGATAGAAGTCAGTAGCTGCATGTTATCTGCCCCGGAGGACGTCGCACCTACCTCGGCTGCTTCCGGACAAACCGGCCCGAACAGAGCGACGATCCGGTGCTTCTCGAACTGGCCGATGAACTCACTGAGGGAGGTTTTGGCGCTGCAGCCGCAGTCGCCGTAGACTATCTCCAAGGTCCTGTTACCCAACAGCGTCATGTCCCACTCCCTGTGAATCTTATCGATGGCCAGATGGACGGCAGAGCCCAGGCGCTGTGCGCTGAACGGGTACGAGAAGTTCCACGGGGCCTGGAAGCCCAGAAATATTTTGGACCCCGCTCCTTCCGGGTCATCGACGCGGCTGACCAACTGAGTCTCTGCAATGAGAAAACAGATACAAAGAGCACAGAGGATGAGTAGCATTGTGGAGGGAGCTCAGTAGGGTCAAGTAATGAGCGCTGATTTCCCCCCCCCTCCCCCCAACCTAAGACGCGAAGACTGCGCCGGAGTTCGATCCCAGCTACTTATACCTGATATCTGTCGAATTCTCCTGTGTGCTCTACATGTCTCTTATTAAACAGCCCTCATTAGCAGAGACACACAGCCTCCAGTGACTGCTGAGGTCCCCATTGGCCCTTCATTCTGTAACCCTTCGAGGATCTTCTCTGCAAACAGTCATTTCACCTTGGAGTTTGTACAGCTCAAAGTTGCTCTTTTGCTTTCCATTCGTACAATATTGTCTCCGACAGAGCTGACACTTCATGTAGTCGCTCTAAGCTATTTCTAAGCTCGTTTTCTTAGAAAGCAAAATGCGTTTTACAGATGATAAAGGAAAAAATAATGATTATTTGTTTTACTGAGAATTAAAGGAGAACTATGAGGGGGGGGAGGGGGTGCTTTTCCCTCATCCTCATAGTTCTAGCCGACCTGTGACAATGAGACTGTCACAGGTCGGCTCAGTAGATCGGGAGGTGAGCGAACACATACCGGCGTTCGCTCACCTCTCGATCCTGTCACGGCTCTCTGCCGTGACAGGGGAGGGGCTGGATTCCCCCCTCCCCGTTTCGATCTGCCAGCGCTGACTGGCGGAACGGACGGGGGAGGGGGCGGGCACAGCTGGCTCTGCCTCTAGATAGGCAGAGCCAGCTGTCAGTCACGCAACTGGGCACATCCCGGCACAATTGTCGGGATCCGCTTCAGCTGCGGCGTCTCAGTATATAGGGAGCTACAGCTCGCGGAATACTAAGCCCAGGGTGACGGGAGGATGCTAGTTTGTGTCCTCCCGTTACCCTTAAGCCTGGTTCACACCTGAACGTTTTGTAGCGCGTTCAACGCTCGACGAACGCTCTACAAAACGCTCAAACATCTAAATCCCATTGCATTCAATGGGTCTGGTTCACACCTTGCCGTATTTCCGCCCGTCCGAATGCGATACAAAATGGCCTACGCCAAAAGAAGTACATGTACTTCTTTGGGGCGTTTTGGTCTCGCGTTTCCATTGGGATACAGCCAAGTAGCCCTCAGAAACGGGCGTTTGTCGCGCGTTTTTTTTACCGCAAACGCGCATATTCAATACGCCTAGGTGTGAACCCAGCCTAAGGAGAACTATGGGGAAAAGCCTTAACCCCATAGTTCTCCTTTAAATGACATTACTAAGTACTTATAATGCTTCTATGTGAGGTCCTTACATAGGGACAGGTTCAGAAGGATGTCATTGGAACCAATTGTTGTTCTTCAGAGCCTTGGAATGTCTTCTGGAACACAGTGACAGTTGGCTCCTTGTTCTACAATGAGATATTTGGGGGTCTGGAGGTCGGTCAAGCTGATAACCCAGATAGCAAGAAATTGTGCTGCAAGTTTGATAATGACTTGCTAAACTATTGCAGAATGCAGACTTGCCGAGCTTCACAATTTTGTTGCACAATTACAGCGAGTCTGCATTGCAAGTCTCCAGACCAGCGAGCTCGCAGAGCTCTCGCTAAGACCTGCAGGACTCTTGCTGTAGACTTGACAAAAAAATTTTGCTACAAATTCAAAAAGTGTCGCCTAGAACTTGTGCTGCGAGTGTTCTGCAAGTCTACAACCTGCCAGGAATGTGCGCAGCAAGTTAACAAACATTACAATTTCACCCTGCCACAAGTTTGTAGCAAGTTATCCTTGCTATCTGGGAAGGTGTTGCAAGATAACAGAAATGAATGTTTCTTGTACTAAACGGTGTGCTGCTTCTGAAAATATATGTTTATGTTGAGGAAGGTCCTACATGGCAAATGTCTACAATTGGAGCTTAAAGTGACTCTAAACCCCGGAGTTAAACCTGAAAAATCCATCCAAGTCCCTGAACTCTGAACAACAATGTATCTTATTTGTGTATGACTCGGCCGGAGATCCTCCAATCATCTCTGACACTGTCCTTCCTTCTGGAGGGGGGCTACGTCTGTTCCCCATGGTCCCTGTGTGTGTCGTAAAGTAGTCACCGCTCCAAGCTCGCTCCCGGGATGGACTACAATCTGAATACAAATCAGTAAACTAAACCTGAGATTGTAGTCCATCCCGGGAGCGAGCTCGGAGCGGTGACTACTCTACAACACACACAGGGACCATGGGGAACACACGGGGGGTGATCTGGAGACCCATAAAAAGATATGTAATGTCACCTCATGTGTCTGCTCTTGCATGTGATTTGATGTGATAGATAGATAGATAGATAGATAGATAGAGGGATAGATAGATATGAGATAGATAGAGGGATAGATAGATAGATAGATAGATAGATAGATAGATAGATAGATAGAGGGATAGATAGATAGATAGATAGATAGATAGATAGATAGATAGATAGATAGATAGATAGATAGAGGGATAGATGGATGGATGGATAGAGAGATAGATAGAGAGCAGGACAGTAGAATTTCTGGGTCATCATGTAATGAGGTGTCTCGGTAATGATCAATCAGTCAGGATGAAGTCTCGGGCGGCTCTGGAAGGGATTCGGGTTAAACTGACGATTGATTGTCGAGTTTCTTTTTCCTAGAATTCCGGATCCTGCAGCGCCTGGATTAGTATAATTGGATCTGAGTCACGTCTGGTCCGCATTTCACAGTTAGAAACAGAGAATAATCCACAAACAATAAAATCGTTTTCTTATTGATTTATAATAAAGATCTCGTCTCTCTTCCCTTCTGCCCAGACCGCAGAGGTGTCACCGAGGGCAGCCGGGGTCAGGACATGAGACTTTTTATTAAAGTGTATCCAAAACAAAAAACTAAGGCTGGGTTCACACCTAGGCGTATTGAATATGCGCGTTTGTCACGCGTTTCCGAGTGCTTCTTGGCTGTATCCCAATGGAAATGCGCAACAAAAACGCCCCAAAGTAGCTCCTGTACTTCTTTGGGCGTAGGGCGTTTTGTAGCGCGTTCAGACGGGCTGAAATACGCCCGGGTGTGAACCATACACATAGGATATAATGGGATTTCGGTGTTTGAGCGTTTTGCAGAGCGTTCGAACGCGCTACAAAACGCTCGGGTGTGAACTGGGCCTGAACATTGTATATGTTGCAGCTTCCCGGTCCTTAGATGTGGTGGCCGCATTAGTCTTCCTTTTTCTGACGTTTTTTTTTTTCCTAGGGTGACAACGCTCACTACATACTGTACATAAGGAGGAATCACATTGTTATCCTAGGACTAGTCTACACAACAGCCCTTGCCTCATCTCCATAAGAGAGAGGAGAGAGGAGGGGACCCGGCGGCATACCTCATCCTGCTGGGTGACTGTCCCCTCCTCTCTCTGCCGGCGTCCATCGCCAAGATGGCCGCTGGCAGGCATCAATCGGATAGCCGGGCATGCGCGATGACGTCATTGCGCACACGCGCGTGGTGACGTGACGCACATGCGCAATGACGTCATGGCGGAGTGCTCCTGGGTGACACCCGGCCTCGGGACGCCCCTGCTGATAGCCACGCCCCCTGCAACATCTTCTCATCCCACCAGGCACAACCTACATGAGGGTGACCACTCTGCTCTGAATTCAGGAGCAGTGCAGCACCGTTGTCACCCCATCAGGAATCAGGAAGCTGCATTAGGTTGACTTCACTGGCAGGATCAGGAGGGAATTTGAGGGACTTTGCAGGGGGACTAAGAACAAACTGTGAGTGCAGACGGACTTATAATTAAGTGCTGAGACACATTTTTGTTTTTAATGGGAGGCCATTGTACTAAGTAGCAAGTTCTTCAAGTTTTTTCAGTCCTCGTCTGTAGTAATAGTGTAGACTGCAGACTGGCTGAATGTAAATAATGCGATATTTACACTGTAATGGGTCAGTAATGGTAAGAAACAAATATAAGGTTTTGTGTTTTTGCTGTTTGCGTTGTGTTCTTGAACAATCGCAGTTGATCCAAGAGCTAGCAATTAAAAGTCCGGCGCATCTGCAGATACAGACTAGTTACACAGCTGGTTGATTCTTCTGCCAATTACAGCCCTGGAGTTGTTGGAATTTAATTAGCATGAAATAATGACCTGCGATTGAGCGTGTCGGTGATTCTCCCCGGGAGGTCATTACACCGCGGCACAAACACAATCAGGATCCTCCCCCCAGAGGGTCATCAGCACCTTGTGTGAAGTTCATGAGAAGTCCTGAGTGCCCGGCCGGCCCCCAGGATCCATTCACCGAGCTAATAATGTGTCTCCATTCTTCCAATTAGGATATACTGTGTAAATGTGCCCGGCATGATGGCGCCCCCTTCTGGATGGGAAAAGATGCGCCTGGCTCAGCCCAACAACTGAGAGGTGTGTGCTGAACTCTATGTGGAATATTACTGTAGGGGTGTATTGGGCTGGGAAGGTGGCAGAGCTATAAAAGGGTATGGCTTGAGCTACCCTACCACCTACTGGTTCCTTCCTTTCTTCCTTCCCTCCATCCTCCCTTATTTCCTCCCTGCCTTCCTCTCTTTCTTCCTTCCTTCTTCCTTCCTCCTTTCTTTCCTTGTCCTTCCTTCCACCCCCCTTCTTTTCTCATTCCTTTCTTCCTTCCTTCCCCTTTTATCCCTCTCCCTTCCTACCTCCCCTCCTTCCTTTTTTTCTCCCTCCCTCCTTTCCTCCTTCCTTCTTTCTCTCCACTCCTTCTGTCTTCCTCCCTTCCTTTCTTTCTTTCTTCCTTCCTTCCATTCATCCTCCCTTCTTCCTTCCTTCATTCTATAGCTCTTTCTTCCTTCTTTCCTCTCCTCTCCTTTTACTTCTCTTCCCTCCCTGCTTTCCTTCCTTCCTCACTTCCTTCTTACCTTTTTCCTTCCATTCTTTTCCCTCCTTCCTTCCTTTATTCTCCTTTCCTTTCCCTTCTTTTTCCCTTCCTTCCTGCCTGTCATCCTTCCTTCTTATCTTCCTTCTACCTCCAGTTCTTCCTGCTTTCCTTCCTTTCTTCTCCCTCTTTTCCTTCCTTTTTTTCTTTACTTTCCATTCAACTTCTCTCCTCCCTTCCTCTCACCCTCTCCCTGCCTACTTTCTTTTCTTTCCAGTTCATCCCTCCTCCCTTCTCTCTCTCCCCCCTCTC